TCTAGCATCGCCAGTCTTCCCTAAAGCTATAGCAGTGAAATGGCCAATCCAGACTCTAGACCTCCAACACCTTAACATATGCTGATTCTAGAGTTCCATGAGAGTACACAAGGTCATACATTGGGTGCACGGTCAGGAACAATAAAGCAGCAACTTACAGCTAACTGAAGCTCTCTGCTATGCAATCAGTTAGCTCTGAGTGTAATCACTGATTTCCAGGAGCTTCCATCTAGCATCAGATGCTCAAAGGGGACTGGGGAAGCAGTTTCTGTCTAGTTGAGAGGATGAAGGGAAAGGTTGCTTTGGTTTTGTTTCTTTGGGAAGACAATTATCTGCTGGAAGAACCAGAAAACATGGTTTTTACTCTTTGCCTCAGTGTCCCATCTGCATTTGACTATTTTATCCCTTGAGTTATTAAGCATTTTGAGAAAATGACAAACAAGAGGGTTTCCTTTTTAAAGCAGAGAATCGGTTTCAAAATTAGTAGGTAACATAATCAGTAACACAAGTTTCGTTTCAATTTTCACTGGTTCATAAATAAATCAAATAAGCCAATGTAAAAATATTAAGACACTCTCAAACATTTTGGTTTTTCAAGTGCTAATTTTCAATTAAGTCAAGGTTGATCTTAATTCCACATTAAATGAAATTTCTTCCATTCTGCTAGAGGTCGTGTCCAATGCTAATCCTCACCACTCCTCTTGTTTTCCTCCAGGGAGATTCTGGAAGCCCTCTGATATGTGAGGGAACTTTCAGAGGTGTCACTGCCTTTGGCCTTCCAGGGAAATGCGGAGACCCTCGAGGACCTGGCGTCTATAGTCTTCTCTCAAAGAAACACCTCAACTGGATAAATAAGACTATGAAGGGGAAGTTTAGATAATTGCATTTCATTTCATTTGCTGTCACTTCTTAATCTTGTCATGAATAAAATCACTTTATATGAGTGTTCCCGTTTCTCTCCTACAACTTTAGTGGCAGATCTCCACCGGCAAAGTGAGGCAGAGTAATATAGTGCCCTCATGGATGATGCAAAGGAGAGATTAGGGGACCAATGTCACCAGTGTCATCCATGTGTCAAGTGACGTGCAAATTTTACTTGAATTATTCACTCCACTCTCTCAATGGGACCCAGCAGGAGTGACACTAAGGTCAGTGGAGAGCTCAGCAATTCTGCAGGAAACAGAAACAGCCAGTCTGGAGCATTTGGGTTGAAAGGAAATGAGTTTGCCCTTCAAAGGCCATTGTTCCACATGGACACCTGCTATTCAGATTTATATGCGAGAATCTGAGTTTATGGGAGAAATAGAAACAGGAAATGCCTTAGAGTATTTTCCAAAGGCAGATGAGAAATAAAAATTAAAATTCTAGGGAATATAAATGAAGAATTTGGCCAGCTAAGAAAAGTATGCAACAGAAAGTCAGCCTCCTTTCTCAGTAGTTTGCATTTAAGCCTTGGATTATCTAGGTGATTTCTTGGTTCTCCTTCTCCCTAAGCCTGGGTAAGTCCAATCAACATGGTAGCTACAGTGGCTGCCACCCCATAGTAGGGAGTGAGTGTTGAATTGTGGCCAGAAAGTTTCCTTTGGAAAAAAGCCCCATGGTGTTTATTCAGTACATTCAACTTAGTGGGGAGTCATCAGCCCAGCAGCCACTTCAAGTTGTGATCATGTGAACAGATTCCTTTGACTTCCACCAGTTCCTTTAAGAATATAAATTGTGTGTGTGTGTGTGTATACCACACACACTACGTATATGTAAACCAAGAACATACAACAACACTAAAAGACAGTCTCTTAAAATAAAGGAAGGAACATAGCCTAAAGACTGACCAAAATACTAGTATATTGGATTTCAACCACGGCTCACCAGGCTATTTAAAATTACCAATGCCCTGGCCTCGCCTCTAGAAATTTTTATTTAATTGGTATTCAGTGGGACCTAGGACATAGTATTCTTTACATAAGTAGGCCAATGATTCTAATATGCAGCCAGGAATGAGAACCTCTATACTAGAAAGTGAGGCCTGGTGCTACTATCTAAAAGAGAGGATCTAAGAATGTCACTAGGATGATACTTTACATACCCCCTATAATCCCAAATTCCTAGTTAGGATTTTAACAGCAACAAGAGGATGTAATATTCTCTATTGGCAACACGTATCACAAATTTGAAGTCCACTTATAAAGTAGTTGTACGGAACTCTTGTTCTTTGCTGGTGGAAGTGTAAATTGGTACAACTTCTTAGGAAAATTGGCAGTTTCTATTTATTTACTTATTTATTTATTTATTTATTGTGAGGAAGATCAGCCCTGAGCTAACATCCATGCTAATCCTCCTCTTTTTGCTGAGGAAGACCAGCTCTGAGCTAACATCTATTGCCAATCCTCCTCCTTTTTATCCCCAAAGCCCCAGTAGATAGTTGTACATCATAGTTGCACATCCTTCTAGTTGCTATACATGGGACGCGGCCTCCACATGGCCGGAGAAGTGGTGCATCGGTGCACGCCCGGGGTCCGAACCCGGGCCGCCAGCAGCGGAGCGCGCGCACTTAACCACTAAGCCACGGGGCCGGCCCTGGCAGTGTCTATTAAAGCTGAATGTACACATATCCTATGACCTAACAATTCCACTCCTGGGTATATATCAAACAGAAATGAGTGCTTTTTTCCACCAAAGATGTGTTCAAGAATGTGCATAGGAGCTTTATTCTTAAAAGTCAAAATTGAAAATAAATCAAATATCCATCCACAATAAAATGGATAAACAATTGTTCTACATTTATACAGTGGAATATTACACAGCGCTGTAAAAGAACAAACTACAATTGTATGCAACAACATAAATTAATCTCACAAACTTAATGTTCAGGGAAAGAAGCCAGACAAAGAAAGAATATTTACCATATGATTCCATTTATCTGAAGGTTGGCATAAGGTGAAACTAATCCGAGGTGACAGAGGTCAGAATAATTGAGGGGTGTTAACTGGGAGTGGGCACAAGGAAGTCTTTTAGGGTACAGAAATGTTCGTATTTTAATCTGGATGGTGGTTACCCAGTTATCTATTCATAAATTAAAAACTCATCAAGCTATTCACTTAAGACTTATGTGCTTTACTATATGTGAATTATTACTCAAAAATTTTAAAAGACAAAATTAAAAAATCAATTGTAACAAAGGCTTCTGTTTTATGTACTATCTATAAGTTCACTTTTTTTCTTTACTAAAACCATATCCCAGACTTCCCACCAAAACAAATAGCAGGTAAAAGATATATTGCTATTTTTCTTAAATGAAAACCCCTTGTTTACACACCAGTATTAATTGACAGAAGTGACATTTGGTCTAGACTTAGTGTCATGAGACTGTTAAGACAGAATGACCCAGATCAGAATGATGGGGGACACTGGAAATGGTCATTTTGCTCATTTCCCTGCTAAACATTTTCTTATAGTTTATACCTGACTAATTAAAAAGAAGATGAAATTAAAACCATTAGCTTAAAGAAGAAGAGTGTGTATTGCAGAAAAGTATCACATTTGTAGCTTTTGGTGACCTAAAATTTTCTAAGGCAAGAATTACTAGCACTACCAAGCAGATTTTCTGAGTTAAAAAACAGAGAAAATAAAAGAAAATATTGGCAAGTTAACACTAATTTGACAGGAGAGTCCTACCCTAACTCCCCTTGTATATACGATTCCACTTTCAATTATCAAGGCTTTTGTTTTGTTTCATGGGGTTTTTTTTGGTGGGGGGAAGGGGGTTAAAGGGGTGTGTATGTATTGGTAAAAAACATTTTATGACAAAAGCAAACAAATCAATCAATATTTGTTATCTGACACGGCAAAACATTCCAAGGAGCACTAAAAAGTATAACATATGCTCCCTCAGCTCCTCAATTTAACTGTCCAGGGAAGAAATAAGCATCTCAGAACTAAAATAACCAAAGATTCACATAGCAATAAAAGATTTTAAAAATAACTAGGATAGTATATTAATATCAAATAGGTGACACAGACTGATGCCAAGCGTTTGAACCCAGGTAACAGCATTTCAACACACTTCCTGGAGAGGTTAGGACTTATGCAGATGAGCAAAGGAAAGGAAGAGAGGAACAGGGACTCCAGACTAGAAGAAAAGCTCCAACAAAGGCTCCAAAGCAGGAAATCACAAGACTTAGCCCAGGGGAGATGTAGGAGATAGGTGGGAATTAACAATAAAACGGTAGAACAGCGAACTGATCAAGTTTGAAGAAAGCTTAGCAATTATCAAATCCGAATTCTTATTCTTGCAAATGTTGTGACACACCCAAGGTCACTCAGTCAGTTTATGGCAGAGCTGAGGCAAGAACAGCCCCCTAACTTCAGGTTCTGGGCTCAGGACTCCGAGTTGAGGCTAAGGGGTTTAGGCAATAGGGAGCCATTGAGAGTTTATGAGCAGGGTACTGACAGGATCAGCACAGTGCTTTTGGAAATTTAACCTAACAGTGATGTGAGACCCATGAAGACTAAAGACAGGAAAACCAGTTAGAAGACAATTATAACAGACTGGTCATCAGGTATTCAAGACATGACAGGATGAACAAAAGAAAAGAGAACCGGGGTAAGCATGGAGCAGAGTAATCAGGAGGCTCCCTGAGTGACTGGATGACCAGGATAAGGATGAGACCGTGAAGAGGGAAAAGGGAGTCCTACAGAGGAGTTCATTTTGACAGGAAATAATACGGATGCTTAGCATACCGCCCAGCATTTAGTACGATTTTAGTCAATATATTTCAAGTGAATGAGTTGTGTTTTTAAAGTACTGAGTTTGAGCTAAAGACAGGAAAGGATCTCAAGCAGGAAATATCCAGAGGCAGACAGAAATGGGAGGCTGGAGCTTGGGAGAAAAGTCAAGTGGGAAAGAAGTACTTAGAAATCTATGCTACAGATATTGTTCTGACTATACCGGTGGAAATGCATCTCTAACAAGGAAGATAGAGAAGAAAAAGGAAGAGGAGGAAAGGAGAGAGAGAAGAATGGAGGGTCAAAGACAACGTCTGGGAAATGCAATGGGAGGAAGCAGAGCAAATAAAGTAACCTGAGAAAGAAGGTCGGGAGGACAGGAATCCACATGGGGAAAAGCACTTCATCTTGCTTGACCCTCACAACAACTCCCTGGAGAAGGCAAGGCCAGTACCATTATTCCTACTTAGAAATGAGGAAACTGAAGCTTAGAGGGGAGAGCAGCTAGCAGCAATTCCATACACGGGCTGTGCCATCAGCTGCAGCAGAAAACACTCGGGTCTGGTCCGGACTCAAAGCCAAGTGCAGCACTCTGCCTCTGTGGCCTGTGGGAATAAGGAAGGACAACTCAAGTTCCACATTACAAGGGCTGTTGCTGAGGACTGGGAAGCAACCTAAGGTGGCACCAGGAGTCCCATCCCAGGATAAAGGGCCACCTTCAGAGCTGGCGCTCCTACTACGCCTTCACTGTGGTCACACCAGTCAGGGCTGACTCTGGGCAACATCCTAATGTGGCTGAGGTTTTGCTTCAGGGCTCTTCCCCTTGTGTTAGTCTCTAAGACTGCCATAACAAACTAGTGGCTTAAAATAACTAAAATTTATCCTCCTCCATTTTTTTTCCATTCTATACTATTCTATTTCATTTTGTTAATGCTGAACTTGACTCATTACATCCATAATCCAATGGACTCCAACCCCCAATTTGAAAGACCCTGATTCATCTCTCAGTCACCAGGGTATAGGTCAAGGCAGCTGTCCTTGACCCACAATGGAAACACCGACTCACAGTGGAAACACACGGAAGTTAATACCTTAGCAGTCCCGTGCCATACGGCAATGCTCCCTGAGGTGTGTTCATGCAACAAGTACCTCAAGATGCTCCCCTACAAAAGATTCCCAAATATGTTTGAGAAACACTGAGTGCTCTAACCTCGTCTTGGAGATTCACAATATGCATAATATATCAAAGGTTTTGAGACATCCTTAGGAAAGAAAAATCGTTCCTATTAACCCAGAATTTCCAAACTTATCTGACCACATGACATGTGTTTGTATAACAACCGTCCTACTAAACACCTTAGGGAAATATTGCACATATATTTTGGCTAGAGATAGGCTAGAGATGAAAATTAGTGTCTAAGAGCTCAAAAGTAACTGCATCTTCTCCAACCATAATATTTTAAGAGAAGGAGAAAAGGTTAAATGTACTCTTTGGAATTCCGTCTAGTATGAATGAAAAAAATTCACAAGACATTAAAACTAAAGAACTAGAGATCTCTGTAAAGGCCAGAGAAACAAGGAAACGCACTTAAGTTCAACCTTTATTCCAAGCAAGAGCAAATTGATTGAGTATCTATCAGATGCCCCCGCCTAGCTGAAGGGTCTACCTACCTGCTGGAATTATAATTTTGTAAAGAACTGGGTTTAAGGCTTGATTTAAAAAATTTCTCTACTCATAAAAGGTCTAGTGAATTGCATGTCTTATGATTAAAAATATGCAAAGGATCAAATCACGCTCCTCCAGTACTCATGCCTGGCCATTGAAGCGGCTCTGTCAAGAGCTGCCTATATTTCTATTTACCAAGTCACTCGGTGTAACAGCTTAAGGATGTAAAGGTCGGTCTGAAGCTAACCAGAGGTCCAGCTAGGCTGACCAGCAGAAGCAGGAAGTCTTTCTGTTAAGGGTGCTTTGTCGTTGCCAAATAACATTCTCAGAATCTCCAAAGAGAGTCATGGCATTATCACTACCTAACATTGCATATATTTGGTTTTTTGTCTGTTTCTTCCCATAAAAGTGTAGGAAGCTCCATTAAAGCAAGGATATTATCTGACTTGTTCACCTGGATATCCCCAACACCCCAAACAGTGCTTGGCACATAGTAGATGCTTAATAAATGTTGAATAAATAAACTCCAGGGATTGACCAGGAGACAAGCCGAGTGGAAAGAGGAAGAAGATAGGACATATACTCAGAGGTCTTCAAGAGATGGATGCCCACGCTGTTCCTTCATCAACCATAACCTCCTATTTCCCAGGGCTGGGTAGAAGGAAATACCTACTCACTCCTATACCCCTTTAACATTCCAGATGGCACCCAAGAGGATTTAAGACTCTTGAGGACAAGGCCTGAGTCTTGTTCCCCATCTTGGGGGATTGCTCTCAAGAAATACCCAGTAAATGTTTATAGAACTGCACTGAGAAGAACAGTTGTTAGCCTTGAAAGGGTAGAGGCTCACCAGACCTCATGATCTTTAGTGGCCTCCCCACAGAGAACAATGTCTCACCCTCGCCATATTTCCCTACTTCCCACACATTCCAGCACTGCTGGGTCTTCTTCAAAATAAGGAAAGATGAGTTATTATGATAACTCCAGAGGTCAAAAACTCCCCATGATCATCCCCGCATCATCCACACATGAATGCAAGGAGAAGACATGACAATTGTAAGTGACGAACAATCTTAGTCAAATTCAGAAACACTCATCTATACACGCCCTGAGGTGTGTTGGGTGTAGGCCTTTTTCCTCTGACGAAATATATACTTCAAAGAACCAGAAGGAGAAAATCTTTCATTCGGGGCTTTTCCCACCAATGACAGCTCACTTAGCTATAGGTACATTTTACTCACCTATTTACTTACCAAAAAATCCACCCGACCTAGCCAGAGCAGGACAGGCCCACACAGTCACATCATTCTCAGGAGTACCTTGGCCAGTTGCAATCTCTCTTGTCTTAGGTAGCCAGATTAGGGAACAAATCTGTAATAATGACCAAAAAAATAAAGAATTATGGCAATTTCTGATTTATTATGAATGTATGTCAAACTGATTCTAGGCAGTATGCGCTTCCACAGCCATCCTCCAGTCCACAGCTGGGGTTAGGGTGTCAGAGGAATTACACTAGCTCTAGGAAAGTTTATCCCAAGGCAACAAAGGACTATATATACAAGTAGGCTCAATGAATCTATGAATTTAAGTGGACTATGATCATTGTCCAGCAATAGTTGGACTGCTCTCAAGTTTCACAGTCAAAGAAGTGCTGAGAAAGAAGAGAAATGTGAAAAAAAAAAAAGACAAATTAAATTAACTTTTGACTCACAGCTGAAGGTTTTACAAAAAAAACTCTCAAGAACTGAAATCCCTATGGACTCCACAGGTACAGAGAGATGTGTCTGGGTCCTACGCTCTATCATAAATTATTTCCACAGGATTCTAGAAGATCAGAATGAAGGTGAATTCCACAGGACACATTTACCTGTGAGTTTGTGCTTGGGGTCTGGATGCTCTGCCCAGTATTTATGTCCAAGATGTGTAAGCGTCCATCCTTCATTCCTCCTCCAACAGCAAGGACTGCAGACTGCCAGGGACACCAATCCATGGCCTATAAAGTTCCAAATAATCACACAGGCAAGTCAGCCTTGGAGAAGGTGAACTTGTGAACGTGATGAATTGACGTAAGCAGAAGTTCCAGAGGTCTGCCCCCCTCACAGCTCTCCTGGACATCTCTGATCGAAAGGCAGGAGCAATTGCACTCTCCAGAAATTACTTCTCAAGGACTAGACATCACCTATTAGATGCCTTCCTCAACTTTTGATAACAATTGCGAATATTTTAACAATTCTCAATAACAATTGTGAATATAGAAAAATCACACAATAATACGCTTGTAAAACTACACTGAAGACCTCCTATGGGGCAAAATCTGTTGCTAGAGTAGTTGACGTGTGCCCCTAGAATCTGGTTACAAAATGCAGCCTTTCTCTCGTTTGTCTACCTGTGTCTTTTGGTTCTAGGTCAGAGAAGAGACTAAAAGACAAAAGAGAGCTAGACATGATTGCTCGCAACTCAAAAAATTCCACGCATTTCAACCCCTAATACAATTCAGAAAATAAAATTGCCTTTTGCTTATTTATTTATAAATTATTATAGTTAATTATGAAAATAGGATTTAATATTGCACATTTATATTGATAATTGAAATGACTAATAATAATAATTTTAAAGAACATTTTAACAAACACTTCAGTTATATTTTTCTGTGTATCCTTATCAATCATCCTGGTAACTATTCTCATTTTTGCATATTATCTTCTATATGTAAAAATGTTTTTAAAGTATTAAACATAATGTATGTGCTATTTTATTTTTCTGTTGTTTTCACTTACTATATAAAAAGTTTTTCATCTTGAACATGTTTTTCACAATTACAATTTTTAATAATCCCATAATATTCTATCATATTATTGTACTCTAATTTGTGTTGTAATTCTGGACTCAGGTTGATTTTTTATCTTATTTTGGTTTGGTTTGCATTGGGTTGGGTTGAGGTTTTTGGAGAGGAGTGGATTTTTTCGTTGTTGTTTTTTATGTGTTTTGTTTTAATTGTTTGTGGGGGGGTCGCATTTCTTTTTTTTTTCCTATCTTTTTTTTTTGAGGTAACATTGGTTTATAACATTATATAAATTTCAGGTGTACATCATTATATTTCTGTTTCTGTGTAGACCACATCATGTTCACCACCCAAGACTAATTACCATCCGTCACTGTACACACGTGCCCTATCACCCCTTTTGCCCTCTTCCCTCCCCAATCCCCTCTGGTAACCACCAATCTAATCTCTGTATCTATGTGTGTGTTTGTTTTTGTTGTTATTTTTATCTTCCACTTCTGAGTGAAATCATATGTTATTTGACTTTCTCCATCTATTTCACTTAGCATAATACCTTCATCCATGCTGCCCATCTATGTTGTTGCAAACAGCAAGATTTCATCCTTTTTATGGCTGAGTAGTATTCCGTTGTATATATATATACCACATCTTCTTTATCCATTCATCCACTAATGGGCACTTAGGTTGTTTCCAAGTCTTGGCTATTGTGAATAATGCTGCAATGAACATAGGGATGCATATATCTTTTCACATCTGTGTTTTCACATTCTTTGGATAAATATCCAGAAGTGGAATAGCTGGATCATACGGTATTTCTATTCTTAACTTTTTTCAGAAATCTCCATACTGTTTTCCATAGTGGCTGCTGCAGTTTGCATTCCCACCAGCAGTGTCTGAGGATTCCCTTTTCTCCACATCCTCTCCAACACTTGTTATTTCTTGTCTTGTTAATTATTGCCATTCTGACAGGCATGAGGTGATATCTCATTATAGTTTTGATTTGCATTTCCTTAATAATTAGTGATGTGGAACATTTTTTCATGTGCCTGTTGGCCATCTGTGTATCTTCTTTGGAAAAATGTCTGTTCAGACCCTTTGTCCATTTTTTAATTGGGTTGTTTTGTTGTTATTGTTGAGTTGTATGAGTTCTTTACCTATTTTGGATATTAACCCTTTATAAGATATATGGTTTGCAAATATCTTCTGCCAATTGTTAGGTTGTTTTTTCATTTTGTTTGATGGTTTCCTTTGCTGTGTAGAAGATTTTTAGTTTGATGTAGTACCATTAGTTTATTTTTTCTTTTGTTTCCCTTGCCTGGTGAGACATGGTATTCAAAAAGATACTGCTAAGATCAATGTCAAAGAGTGTACTCCCTATGTTTTCTTCTAGAAGTTTTATGGTTTCAGGTCTTACATTCAAGTCTTTAGTCCATTTTGAGTTAATTTTTGTGTATGGTGTAAAACAATGATCTACTTTCATTCTTTTGCATGTGGCTGTCCAGTTTTCCCAACACCATTTATTGAAGAGACTTTCCTTTCTCCATTACGTGTTCTTGGGTTCCTTATTGAAAATTAGCTGTCCATAGAAATATGGGTTTATTTCTGGGCTCTTAATTCTATTCCATTGATCTGTGTGTCTGTTTTTGTGTCAGTACCATGCTGTTTTGATTACTATAGCTTTGTAGTACATTTTGAAATCATGCAATGTGATATCTCCAGCTTTGTTCTTTTTTCTCAGGATTGCTTTGGCTATTCAGGGTCTTTTGTTGTTCCACATAAATTTTAGGATTCTTTGTTCTATTTCCAAGAAAAATGTCATTGGGACTTTGATAGGGCTTTTTGTTGTTTTTTGTGTGTTTTGTTTTAATTGTGTGCTTTTGTAAAGAACACTGTAATAAATATATTCCGGCATATGTCTTTTGTTTCTGACAAGTTATTTTTTAGGTAAATTGCAAGCTTCAGAAGTGTTGACATAAATAGTTTTCCAAATAGTTGTAACTTTTTACAACACCAGCATCAAATGAGTACACTAATTTCATCCTAAGTTAAAGGTTACTTGGAGTTAAAAAGTAAATCTCCCATCCCACATGCCCTTCTAGAACTGTGTCCACTTCCTCCATCAATAGGTAGAATCTCATTCCCCTCCCTTTGAATCTGAGGAGCTTGTGACTCATTTGTAACCAATAGAAGGCAGCAAAAGTCACACTGCTTGACTTCTGAAATTAGGTAATAAAAGGTTATGCCACTTTCACCTTGCTTTCTGAAGCACTGGCCCTATTGCCCTGAACCACAAAGTTCAACAGTCTTAAGGCTGCCATGTTGTAAGGAAGCCCAAACTACCCAATGCGGAGAAGCTCTGAGACTACGTGAAGAGGGAAGGATGGCTGGCCAGCCAACAGCTGCTCCAGCCCCCAGCACTTCCAGTTTCAGTCACTGACTACAACCACATGAAAGACCCTGAGCCAGAACTGCTCAGACAAGCCCTTCCCAAAGTCTGACCCATGGAAACCATAAAAGGTAATAAAATGATTGTTGTTTTAAGCCACTAAGTTTTGGAGTAATTTGTCACATAGCAATAGATAATCAAAATAGATACCATGAGTGGAAACCTTAGACTATGAAATATGGTTATACTTCATACAAGAAAGACAATGAAGAACTCCAGTCAGCCAATCTACATTTAAAGTAAAGGCCTTGGCCTTATATTGTGAATAAATGCACAATTTAAAGTTTTCAGTCAAAATAAAATATTTACAATGTATATGCATGCTATCTTACAGTTACCTGCCTTAATTGCCCTTTTCAAATAACCATTCAGTTACATACCCCTGACTGGGCTGGATAAGAGGGCTATTCCAGTAAACACAAAATTTTGCACAGAATTTCAAGAGGCTCAGAAACTCCCCTGAGCCCATGGGCCCTGTTTTACCATATGATGAATATCAGTATTTTTTATATTTATTAGTAATCATTTTTTTAAATACCGTACTTCCAATTAGCTTTTACTGTAAACAAGTTGTTTTGACAAAACTGGAAGCTCCATCTTGAGAGGAATCACACAGATGTCAACGTCTGAAGTCCACTCCTGTTGGCCCAATTGGCTAGTCGGTGATGAGCGTGGAGAGACGTACACTAGCAACTGTTCTTGTGATTCCCCAGGGATTAGCTGCCACGAGGCTTGGCTTACTCAGATTTCCAGAATCTCTCTCTTAGCGCAATTCATTGTATTTCTGACAACAAGGCATCTAAGAGGGTAACGTGTTTTGCTTGGCTTGGTTTTTTCACCTGATGGTTTTTTGTTTTGCGTTATTTTGTTTTTGTATTTTGTTTGCAGACAGAACATTTTAAGTACATTTCCCCTAGATGTTTTTCAAGTCAATAATGGGAATTTGGACCTAAAATCATTCTCAATGTCCTATGGACATTAAAAACCACAAGCTAGAGCTGTTGGGCCCATACTATGCATAGCAGCAGGCACTATATATTCTACCCTCTATTAGGAAACTCTATGATAACTTTTAAGTTCTTATTCTAATAAATCTGCTTACAGTTAATAAAGTAGAACAATTTCTTTGCTTTATAAGTGATAAATATTCTGAGACTATGTTGAGGCCAAGACATACACCTATGACACCAAAGGAAGGAAAGTATGGATTTTTTTTACTAGAGATAAGAATTTAAAATACAGAGAAATAAGAAATTATCATGCAGAGTATGGTTGAGTATTGGTTTAACTCTACAGCACTCTGCCTCTTTCTTCCAGCAATGGGTCTCTTTTCTTGGCTGTGAGGTCATGACCCAGGCTTTGTCAGTCAGTGTGCCCATCTCTCCGTTTGCAATTACCAGTTGAGAGATGAGAATGTGACCAAAGCCAGACCAGAGTCCTGCCTGGGACTTTTCTACCAGAGTTATAAGGAATAGTGTTTTCTTATCAGCTCCCATCTGGGAGAATCTGAATCTGAAGGCACCAAGGCCATCTTGCCCACAAAATAGAGTCTGAATGAAGAATGAAACTAAATAGAGAGAAGCAGAGCCAAGAGCAAAAGAGACAGACTCTAATGACACTGTTTAAGGCCCTGGATCTAGCCAATATTTGAAACAGCTGTATGTACCCAGGACTCTTTACTTATATGAGAAAATATATTTACTTTTCTGCTTAAGCTCAAGCTTGACTTTGGTTTCAGTTACTTACAACCAAAAAAATCTGACATGCGGGGAGCATAAATAGGGCTGTCTTTCAAGAGAGTGATGGCAAAATCCAAAACAAATTCTGAGAGAAGAAAATCTCCAAGTATTGGCTTAATGTTTTGTTTTTTTGTGTGAAGGATACCCACTGATCTCAGAGTAAAGGGAAACCTAGAAAGCTGTTAGATTTCTTACCTTGACTGCTGTAGGTTGGGGTATGACTTTTAGTGGTTGACCCTGTGCACTCACACCTGAATCACGGGGCCATATGGTCAGCAGTCCGTCACTACAGCCACTGGAGAGCAGCCTGCCATCGAGCGACCACTTCAGAGCACACACGGCTTGCTTGTGGTGAAGTGTTCCAACATGATGCTGGGCTACCCGAACATCGTGATGATACACACGGCCCAGTCTCGACCCACTGCACAGAGGTGAAGGGGCAGGTTTACGACAGAAAACTTCAACCCTATTGCTATGTACACGCTTGAAAATGTGAAGGAAAGCATAGTTCAAACTACTGAAAGATCCCTTAGGACAGATTCAAAAGACAGTAGACATTCCTTGGGTTAATGAAGATGGACTATTCTGCGTGGGTGATTGATTTCACAAGTGAAATAGATTTGTCTGGAGAGTTTCAGATCTGGATATCGAGAAGATATCCTTTGATAGACATCTCTAATTGCTTTAATATAATGTAGGCAGCCATAGAAAAGATAAATTTAGAAGACTACCAGATTTTCTCGGGTAGTAGTTTATGTACTGGACCTAGGAAATATTATTTTTCTGGAATTCAGAATATTTCATATTATCTCAGTGAATGGTTTTAGTGTATATATATATTTATAGTAAAATTTTAGATATAGAAATTTATTATTTCCTTTTTCTATTGCTCTGTAGATCCACTATTAGTTTTGCTAACGCTACTAATATCTAAAAAGAGTATGAAGCTATCTGAACATCACAGCAAACCACAATACGATTCAGTTAGTGGATAATGTCTCTACTCACGCTCAGTGATTTGGATCCAAACAACGATAAAGATCTATCACTCTGTCAAAGATAATGAATTCTTTCTAGGCTAATTTAATTTTCTCCAAGGAGCAAGTAAATAACTGCCTATAATTATTTCTGAAATTTCTCCAAGTCCAGTGTCATATTTTTAAAAACTATTCAGGCACAACACTGAGTAGTATTCTGATGAACAATATGGTCTCTGCAGCCAGACCACCTGGGTTCAAAGCCTGACTCTTCCCTTATACTAATCATGTGACCTCAGGCTGTGTCTCAGGTTACTCATCAAAAGAGGGGGAGATAAGAAACCACTTTACAGTGTTATTGCAGGGATTAAAACAAGATTATGCACATAAAGAGTACAGTGCCATGCCTGGCACACAGTACTCCAAAAATGTTAGCTGTTATTATAAGAAAGGATCTGTTCATATTCTTCATGAATACCAAAACTGAACTGAAACAATGCAGACTGTAAAAGGAAGTTGAGTCTAGAATTGACCTGACTGCAACTACTTTTCAGGGTAAATATTTAGACCTTTATAGGTTGTTTTGCTTAAATGGTTCTAAGTTTGGCTTATAATCACAAAGTATTAAAATCTCAAATTTACATCTGAGCTACTTTAAAAAATCATAAAAGGCTTTGGAATTTATTTAATTTAAATCTACCTTAAGAAATACAGAACAAAAATGAATGACTATTATTAAAAGCAATATATATTTAGACCAATTATGTAGGATCATAGGGACTTAACTTTTCTTGTTAAAAAGAAGCAGTTAGGCTAAATGAGTAGTTCTCAAAAGTGATGAAGCATCAGCATCACTTGGGAAATTAGAAATGCAAATTATCAGTGCACCTTTAGACCTACTGAATCAGAATTTCCTGGGGTGAGGCCAGCAATTTGTGTCTTAGGGAGCCCTCCAGGTGATTCTGGTGCATGGTTAAGTTTGAGAACCACTGACCTGGTTAATCTATGAGGTTCCTTCCAGTTCTAACCTCTGTGGCTCTGTGAATTGGAAATGTGCCCCAGAAAGCTTAACATATTCCAAATTACTAATATTGATAGCAGTAAATGCTTAATTTCAACAAAACAGCCCTTTAGTAGGTATTACTTGGTACAGAGAAATTTTTGCTTAAATGAAGTTTTACATTTTATCTGAACAATTCAGTGAATCCTGAACCTCACATTCCAATATTAGCACACACTGTGGGCACATAGCCACCATGGTACGTGTGGCCACTGGACCGCTTACATCACCAGAAGATCTGAATGCCTGAAAGGGTAAGATCATAACTGATACTAACTAATGTCCTGGGTTTTTTTTTATTTTTGTTTTTGTTTTGGTTTTAAATATTATAGTTCTGTTCACTCAACCCTCATAATCCATTAGCGATACAAATATAACTGGTTCCAATAAAATGCTTCTTACCTGCTGAGGATACAGTGATTCCAGCTCAGAGCTCCAACTACTGACAAATGACCAAGCATATTTCTCAGCCGCTTTTTAGTTGCCACATCCAATAACTGAAAAAATGAACAGGGCTATGCAGCATTGACATTTTCACAGTCTACCCTCTTCTCAAAGGCCTGATAGCCAATTAATATTGATATAGCCAGTCCTTGTAGTGAGTGAAAGTTCAGCACCTTTAGCCCTAGTCAACAGTTCTCAATGCCATCTGCATATTAGGATCACCTAGAGAGGATGCCATGGATGCTAACAATCCTGATTTAATGGTGAGGGTAGAGCCTGGAGATATGGCATTTATTTTAAAGTTCTCCAGGTGAATTCAGTGGGCAGCTATAGGTTGAGAATCACTATCACACTTCTAGTTCCTTCTAAATTGTTGAAATTCCAAACCTGGAAATCCATCTACGGTTTTCCAACAACTAAAATTTGGGTGCCTGGACACTTTCTAGAGTCAGGAATTCCATTCACTGCTAACAGACTCCTTTCCTGCCAGCTATAAATGATATTCCAACCCATATGAGGAATGAGAACTTTGGTGTGAGAAGAAATCATGACATAACCTTCATAGTATCCAATATCATTGCAGAGATGAGAAAGCAGTGAGAGCTGTCCATGGCCCCCCAAAGTCATCAAACACATGAGCAATATTGTTTATGCTATTGCTAATAAACAATAATAATAAAAATGAGAATGAGAAATTAGACAGAGTGACAGAAACTTGCAAAATCCCCATTTTAGAGAGCCTATCAGAAAAAAATTTACTTATTTTAAGTAATTCTACTTCTGATCGTGGCTTGAGGTGAGAAAGGAGAACTAGAAGGTTGTCTTTTCTCCAAAGTCCTAAAACTGGAGATTCTACAATCCCAATTTTAGTTTGAGAGAAAAGACTAAAAAAAAAAAGGAAAGAAAGAAATGTGACAGAAAGAAAGATTGTGTGGAAAAACTAAGCAGAGTATCCCTAAATCTTCATTAAATGCCATTCAGAAAAGAACCAGAATGATATATCTTCTCACTCCCCATAGCTTTAAGTACACATCTAATATAGTTTCTTTCTCTTACATTAACCTGTTTTTAAAATTCAATTTTAGTTATCTAGCAATTATACAGAGCACATTATGAGAAAGAAAAAGCAGTCCAGTACTTGCACTTCTCCCTCGCTGGTGCCAACCGCCAGGCAGGTTCCCTCTTTAACCCAGGACACAGAAGATACATAGTTACAAGTGAGACTTAAGTCTATATGTTCAATCCCATTATGGTTTTCCCCATTCCAGACGTATACAGAAGATCCAAGGGCTATAGCAACAAGATTTTGAAAATTCCAGTCTAGGATATTCAGATCTATAAGAAAAGCATTTCAAATTAGGGTGATTATACAAACAAATAAAAATATTTTCAAATATTTATAGGGAGAAGAGAAAGATTAATACTTTTCCCATGGTCAGTTGGAAAACAGAATCATGAATCCATTAGAAGTTCAAAGATGAAAACTGGAAGAGAATCTTGTGTCAAGATTCACAGTCTAATAAGTGATAATGCTGACCATTTATGCTCAGATATACGTATTTAAAGGCATTGAGAAAACTTGGCAGTTTCACCTACCATGATTAATATACACAGATTCCATCTAACAGATCACTAAAAATTAAAAGCACATAATTCTTACATCTTATGAAGACATCCTTGGACATAGGATATCCTCATGAGAGATGTCACCATCATTTCTAAACAAAAATACCACCCAACCACAGTATATCTAGAAGAGGTGGTCACTGGCTTATTTATGATACCTAAAAGTTCTTAGCCATATTCTCTAGCTGACAGTATAAGAAATCTTTGACTGCTAAAAGAAACCATGTTTGTATGACCACATATTAAAATGTACCCTATCTTATTTCTTACAAGACAGAAACTCCTATCCTGATTGACACATATCAGTACGAAACTATGAAGCACACCGGTTCCACTACAGTGGTCTAAGAGCCCTACAACTCATCCCTCCCAGTGATGACAACTGTAAACTCTGAACAAAATATAAAAAACAAACCCCTGAGAACTTTGGAAAATAAGCAAAGCAGGTAAACTAAGTAAGGGAGTCAAAACCGGGAGAAGCAAGCTGCCCAGGGGAGAGTTTCCCACTTTTATTCTCACGTGGCTTTGCCCTGAGGGTGAGTCCTAGTCATGCAGTAGCATCAGCAGCTCAAACTCCGATAGAAAGCCCACCATTTTTCTGGTCAGAGGAACCAGGGAAAGGAGCCTAAGATGGCCAAAGTGTGAGGAGAAAGTTCTGGAGGGGGGAGAGCCATGGAAACGCATCCTTGTGAGTGTACGAACCCGCACACATCTCAGCCTAACCCCTAAATCATGTAAGTGCAAGGAAAACTCAAATCAGCTTAGCAAAGGCTTTGAGAACTGAACTGAGATTTGAAATATCCATACAAGCCTCAGCCTAGACTCCAATCCACATATATGAGGGATAGACCCAAACCAGCATAGTCAAGTCTTAAAAAACTGATCTGAGATTTGAAACACCACCCACAGAAGGCAAGACAAAACTTAAAGGGTGGGGCCGGCCCCGTGGCTTGGCGGTTAAGCGCGCGCGCTCCACTACTGGCAGCCAGGGTTTGCATCCTGGGCGCGCACGGACGCACCACTTCTCCGGCCATGCTGAGGCCGCGTCCCACATACAGCAACTAGAAGGATGTGCAGCTATGACATACAACCATCTACTGGGGCTTTGGGGGAACAAAAAGGAGGAGGATTGGCAATAGATGTTAGCTCAGAGCCAGTCTTCCTCAGCAAAAAGAGGAGGATTAGCACAGATGTTAGCTCAGGGCTGATCTTCCTCACACACACAAAAAAAAACTTAAAGGGTGAACTTAACTAAGACAAACGTATCAACATTGTTGGAAGTCCTAGCTACAGCAATCAGACACAAAAAAAAAAAAAAGAAAGAGAGAAAAGGCATCCAAATTGGAAAGGAAGAAGTAAAACTGTCACTATTTGCAGATGACATAATACTATATATAGAAAACCTTAAAGACTCTACCAAAAAACTATCAGAACTAATAAACAAATTCAGTAAATTTGCAGGATACAAAATAAATATACAGAAATCTGTTGCATTTCTATACACTAACAAAGAACTATCAGAAAGAAAAACTAAGAAAACAATCCCGTTTACAATCACATCAAAAAGAATACAATACCTAGGAATAAATTTAGCCAAGGAAGTGAGGACCTGTACACTGAAAACTATAAGACATTGGCAAAAGAAATTGAAGACAACACAAATGAAAGATATACTGTGCTCATGGACGGGAAGAATTAATATTGTTAAAATGTCCATACTATCCAAAGCAACCTACAGATTCAATGCATCTCTATTAACATGCCAATGGCATTTTTCACAGAAATAGAACAAATAATCCTAAAATGTGTATGGAACCACAAAAAACCCTGAATAGCAAAAGTAATTTTGAGAGAGGAACAAAGCTGGAGGTAACACACTCTCTGATTTCAAACTATACTACAAATCTACAGCAATCAAAACGGCATGGTACTGGCCCAAAAAAAACACACAGATCAATGGAATAGAATACAGATCCCTGAAATAAACCCATGCATATACAGTCAATTAATCTATGACAAAGGAGGCAGGAATATACAATGGGGAAAAGAAAGTCTCTTCAATAAATGGTGCTGGAAAAACTGGACAGATACATGCAAAAGAATGAAACTGGACCACTTTCTTACACCATATACAGAAACAAACTCAACATGGATTAAAGACTTAAATGTAAGAGCTGAATCCATAAAACTCCTAGAAGAAAACATAGGTAGTAAACTCTTTGACATCAGTTTTAGCAAAATTTTTTTGGATATGTCACCTCAGGCAAGGGCAACAAAAGCAAAAATAAACAAATGGGACTACATCAAACTAACAAGCTTTTGCACAGTGAAGGAAACCATCAACAAAACAGAAAGGCAACCTAAAAAAGAATATATTTGCAGATGATATCTGCAATAAGCGGTTAATATCCAAAACATATAAAGAACTCATACAACTCAATATCAAAAACACAAACAATTTGAGTAAAAATGGGCAGAGGACCTGAAGAGACATTTTTTTCCACAGAAGACATACATATAGCCAGCAGACACATGAAAATATTACTGATCATCAGGGAATGCAAATCAAAACCACAATGAGATACCACCTCACACCTGTCAGAATGGCTATTAACAAAAAGACAACAAATAAGTATTGGTGAGGATGTGGAGAAAAGGGAACCCTTGTGCACTGTTGATGGGCATGTAAATTGGTGCAACCACTATGGAAAACAGTATGGAGGTTTTTCAAAAAATTAAAAATAGAGCTACCATATGATCCAGCAATTCCACTTCTGGGTATTTATCTGAAGAAAACAAAAACACTAATTTGAAAAGATATATGCATCCCTGTGTTCATTGCAGCATTATTTATAATAGCCAAGACATGGAAGCAACCCAAGTGTCCATCAGTAGATGAATGGATAAAAAAGATGTGGTGTGTGTATATATATACACAATGGAATATTACTCAGCCATAAAAAAGAGTGAACTCTTGCCATTTGTGACAACATGGATGGATCTAGAGGGTATTATGCTAACTGAAATAAGTCAAGCAGAAAAAGAATACCATATAATTTCACTTAGATGTGGAATCTAAAAAAAACAAAACAAATAAATAAACAAAATGAAATAGGAACAGACACATAGATAGAGAGAATAAATTGGTGGTTGTCAGATTTGGGGGTAGCGGGGCAGAAGGGCAAAATAGGTGAAGGGGATTAAGAGGTACAAACTTCCAGTTATAAAATAAATAAGTCATGGGGACGTAATGTACAGCATAGAGAATATAGTCAACAATATGGAAATAACTTTGTATGATGACATGGTTACTAATCTTATCAGGGTGATCATTTTATGATGTACATAAATGTTGAATCACTATGTTGTACACCTGAAACTAATACAATGTTGTATATCAACTATACTTCATTAAAAAAAAATTTTTTTTAAAGACCTGACTACAGTGGATTCAAAGACAATGTGGGGAGAGAAATAGGAAATTGTGAATATAGACATCTTTTGACAAGTTTTGCTGTCAAAGGGAAGAGAGAAAAGGGGTTAATGGTTTGAAGAGGAAGTGGGAACAAAAGTGTTGTGTTTTTTTTAAATATGAGTGTTTTATTTTTTAAACATCTCTTGAAATGTATTGTCCAATTGTCATTGGTCATAACAATAAATTCTCTTAGAGAAGGAGCTGTAGGAGAAGGAAAGTACGAGAACTGTTCCCTTGAGTGATTTCGCTTCTTGCAGCTCATTGCTCTCTGTGAATGTTCACAGAACCCAGACCTCTTCCCTCTACTCTTTTCTCCCTCTCCAAGTGAGTTCACACTGGCTCTTGGCTTCAACCATAATTATCTGACCTACACACTAGTCTATCCTCTCCTTCAACTGCCAACCTCATTTCTAATCATCTGCCAGAATCTCTTCTATGTCTCTCTGTCTCCTCAAATGTAATATTGCAAGAACAATATTCTTTCCTAACCCACTTCCCCTGCTAACCTGTCTTCCCAGTCACACTACCTTTGTCCTGCTTCAAAAACTTGAAATAATCTTAAATTCATCCCTCTTCCCAGTTATTTTTCCTCATGGAGGGAAAATAGTCCCTTACCCTTTGGTAGCTCACTCCTACTAAATGCATTCTGCACACTCTGCCAGTTCTAGTCAACAACTCCCACAACAAATATAAAAATCTACACCTGGCTTTTGAAATTTCTCCATAATCTGCCTCCACCTATCTATTCACCAGTCCCCAATGTATCCTCTTCATTGCCATTAATTATCATTAATTACCAACAACCTGCCTTTGCTCATGCTATTAACATCACTGAAAATGCTCTATGTTCTCTCCTACAACCCCTCCAAATCCTACCCATCTTTCAAGACCCAGCTCAAGTCTGAATATCTCCACAAAGTCTACACAACTCCTAAGATCACTGAGCTCCTTATAGACCTTATAGCTCCTTATATCACAAAATGTATTACTTATATTCTACACTGGCATGTTGGTAGCAGTTCCATGTGGGTTAGTCTTGTCTTTCGAGCTATAGTACAAGCCAGGCATGTAAAAAGCAGACCCAATGTGGTTGTTTGACTGATTAGATTTACCCATGTTCAAAATATATGCATAAGAACAGTCCACCATTTGTACAGTTCATTCTTTTTTTTTTTAATTTATTTTTCCCCCAAAGCCCCAGTAGATAGTTGTATGTCATAGATGCACATCCTTCTAGTTGCTGTATGTGGGACGCGGCCTCAGCACGGCCGGAGAAGTGGTGCGTCGGTGCGCGCCCGGGATCCGATCCCGGGCCGCCAGCAGCGGAGCACGCGCACTTAACCACTAAGCCATGGGGCCGGCCCCTGTACAGTTCATTCTAATACAGTAAAACAAAATGTATATTCTCATGCCCCACCAACTCTAACAATATCCATTCCTGAACATAAAAATTGCACAGGGAAAAACCAACTATATTAACCATATTTGGATGGTACACCATTTGGACACGAAGTACAAGGCCCATCCGGTTCTTCTAGAAGCAAATTTCAAGTTTATGGCAGAGCACTGGATGCATTTTGTCATTTCAACTTTTCAATTCATGATCTAAACCATAACTTACAGTAGTCATTTCGAAGACCAGTAAGATGAATCTTCACCTCTGGTTGGAGTATGGAATAGTTTACATCACCGAACCTTTTAAGATGGAAGGATTCATCTCCGACTCCATCTTTGCAGCCTACAAGAAACAAACAGTTCTATACATTTCTATGATCCTGAAAACATAATATTTATCCTTGCAGGTATTAAAAGATAACAAAGTGAAAAAGAAAGTGGTATCATAATAAAACTGAATTACAAGTTGGAGGAGCAGGAAAGGGAAAAAAGACGACTTTGGTATTAACTTAAACAAATACATTTTTAAAATGTTCAGTGGCATTTTCTAATAAAAATCACATGAGTGCCAGACCTAAATGCAATGACAGATCTTGTGGGGAGCACACAGAGATACTATATCATGCTTTGAATATTTATTCAAAGGTTTCAAAATAAAAGTAATTTTTGCATATCCATATATCTAACACATCAACAATTACCTGGCAGCCCTAAACCCCACTCTGAGTCTCCATCAATAAATACTTGTTGATTCACTGATCTTGGCCCTCTCTCTCACTGTTTCTATATGAGAGCACACAAAATTACCTTTGGATTGTTTTACCCATGACTATCTGAGGTCATGGTTATATCTTATGCTCAATTTTAATTCTCATCAAAAGACCCCACTAAGTCTAAACCACAGACCACAGTCTTTTCATCTCTCCAAACACTTGGCTTGTGACCAAACTGAAAATGACATGATCAACAGGAACTGAGCCCACCTAGGTGACTTGTGGTCTCTATGATCAGATGACTTCTGATAAAAGCATGATAGCTTCACAATGCTATACCAAGAAGCCAGAGTGTTACTCATAGCCTCAGTGTCAGCTTTGAAAATGTGCACTGTGGAAAAAACTGCAAGTTTACTAAAAATACTCAAGCACTACCAAAAAAGAAATATTAAATATTTTTTAAAAAATTAATACCCAAAGAATCAACAAAAAACTCCTGGAACTAATGAGTGAATATAGCAAGGTTGCAGGATACAAGGTTAATATACAAAGGTCAATTGCTTTCTTATAATTCAGCAATGAACAATTGGAATTTAACATTAAATGCACAATGCCACTTACATTGGTACCCAAAAAAATGAGATACTTAGGTATAAATCTAACAAAATACATACAAGAGCTATATGAGGAAAACTACAAAATTTTAATCAAAGAAATCAAAGAAAATCTAAATAAATGGAGAGATATTCCATGTACATGAATAAGAAGACTCAATATTATTAAGATGTCCCATCTTCCCAACTTGATTTAGAGATTCAGTGTAATCCCAGTTAAAATCCCAGCAAGTTACTTTGTGGATATTGACAAACTGATTCTAAAATTTATATGGAGAGGAAAAGTCCCAGAACAGTCAACACAACATTGAAAGGAAGAACCAAGGTGAAAGAGCAGCACTATCTGACTTTAAGACTTACTAAAAAGCTACCGTACAAAACGGGGCCAGCCTGGTGGCATAGCGGTTAAGTTCTTGTGTTCTGCTTTGGCGGCCCGGTCAGGCCATGCTGTGGCAGCACCCCATATAAAGTAGAGGAAGATGGGCAGGGATGTTAGCCCACGGCCACTCTTCCTCAGCAAAAAGAGGAGGATTGGCAACGGATATTAGCTCAGGGCTAATCTTCCTTACAAAAAAAAAAAAAGCTACAGTACAAAACAGTGTAGTGTTGGTGAAAGAACAGACAAATAGATCAATGGATCTATGGAGAGCCCAGAAATAGACCCATACAAATATAGTCAACTGATCTTTGACAAAGAAGCAAGGCAATACAATGGGGAAAAGTTAGTCTTTTCAAGAAATGGTGCTGGAACAACTGGACAGCCACATGCAAAAAAAAAAAAAAGAATCTAGACACAGACCTTACACTCTTCTCAAAAATTAACTCAAAATGGATCACGGACCTAAAAGTAAAACACAAAACTATAAAGATCCTAGAAAATAACATAGGAGAAAATCTAGATGACCTTAGATTTGGCAATGACTTTTTAGTACAACACTAAAGGCAAGATCCATGAAAGAAATCATTGCTAAGCTGAATTTCAGTAAAATTAGAAACCACTGCTCTGTGAAAGTCAATGTCAGGAGAATGAGAAGATAAGCCACAGACTGGGAGAAAATATTTGCAAAAAATATATGTGATAAAGGAGTAGTATCCAAAATATACAAAGAAACTCTTAAAATTGAACAATAAGAAAACAAACAATCTGATTAAAAAATAGACAACAGATCTGGGCACCTCACCAAAGAACATATACAGATGGCAAATAAGCATAGAAAAGATGCTCAGCATCACATGTCATTAGAGAATTGCAAGTTAAAACAATGAGACACCACTACATACCTATTAGAATGGCCAAAACCCAAAACACTGACAACAACAAATGCTGACAAGGATGTGGAACAAGAATTCTCATTCATTGCTGGTAGAAGTGCAAAATGGTATAGCCACTTTGGAAGACAGTTTGGTAGTTTCATACAAAACTAAACATGCTCTCATATGATCCAGCAATCACACTCCTTGGTATTTACTCAAATGAACTGAAAACTTATGTCCACGCAAAAACCTGCACACAGATGTTTATAGTAGTTTTATTCATAATTGCCAAAAGTTGGAAGCAAATGATGTCCTTTAATAGGTGAATGGATAAATAAACTGTGGTACATTCAGACAATGGAATATTATTCAGTGCTAAAAAGAAGTAACTATCAAGCCATGAAAAAACATGGAGGAAACTTAAATGCATATTACTAAGTGAAAGAAGCCAATCTCAAAAGACTATATGCTGTATGATTCCAACTATATGACATTCTGGAAAAGGCAAAACTTTGGAGACAGTGAAAAGTTTGCCAGGGGTTAGAGGAGGAGGGAGGGATAAATAGAGGGAACACGAAGGATTTTTAGAGCAGTGAAACTACTCTGCATGATGTTATAATGCTGGATACATGTCATTATACACTTGTCAAAATCCATAGAATATACAACACCAAGAGCTAGCCCTAATATAAACTATGGACTTTGGCTGATAATGATGTATCAATGAAGGTTCATTGACTATCACAAATGTACTACTCTAGTGTGAGATGTTGATAGTGCAGGAGGCTGTGCTGGGGGCAGGGGATATGTGGACCCCTTTCTGTAATTTCTGCTTAATTTTTCTGCGAACCCAAAATTTCTGTAAAAAATTATATACAGTCATGCATCACTTAACAATGAGGATATGCTCTGAGAAATGCATCCTTAGACAATTTCGTCATTGTGCAAACATCATAGAGTGTACTTACACAAACCTAGATGGTATAGCCTACTACACACCTAGGCTATGGTACTAATCTTACGTAACCATCAACATATACGTGGTCTGTCGTTGACCGAAATGTCATTATGTGGCACATGTATATATATACATATATATATATTCTAAGATATCAGAATAATATAAACATATGTTCTCTCTGCCTTGATAGAACATATAATTTTTGTTCTACATGAAATAGTTAGTGTCTTACAAAAACACAAAGTTATTGCTGGTCAGAGCAAAAGAAGATGAGAGAGCTAAAGGAAGATATGTCCCCAAATATTTTATTTTGCTTTTAAAAAAATATCATTCTAAGGAAAAGAATAGGGAAGAAAAGGATAAGTTTCACTCATTCATCCCAACTGTACATTCCCAAACCTCCAAAAGAATATTCAGAAGGCCTGAAATTTTTTGTGCCCTTTTTAATGCATCTAACTCTCTTTTTGTCCCCTTCATACATCTGGGAAACAGAGGCATGAGGAGTAAATGTGCACAAAATTCTAGACAGAAAAAGTGTGTATCTATGTATTATCTATGCAACTTTTTAAAAGAAAATTTCCAAAAACATTTTTAAATGAAAAATTAGAATAGAATATAAAAACAGAGGTATACTTTAGCATTGAGGATTTCTCTTTCTTGTTCACATTTATATTTGAGACCCTCCCAAAGCACCCAATGGATTACTCACCAGAACTTATCACAGAGGGAAATGTAACAGGCAAGTTTCCTTGACATTAATGAAATGAACCACTAGCTCTCTCAACAAGCTTCTCTCATAAAACTTAGGTTCCTAATCAATTACTTTCCAACCATGATAACAATTTCATAAAAAACACAAAGACTTCCAAGATGGAAAGAGAAAGTAGGGAGGAGAATACGTGGGGCTCAAGGTAAAATTGACTTTGGGAGTACTAAATGCAGCACAGAAGGAGGATCTTCTGGAAATTGCCACGGTAACAATTATCTCCCCAACTGCATGGCTGCAGAGCTGCCCTGATACACTCCTGACATCACCATCCAAAGATCCCTACCAGCTTTAGGCCTAATAGGTACACTTACAGGTCACAGGAGGTGCTTACTCTGAGGTTTCAGAGTCTTAATCAGATATGGATAAGGCATGAAGAAATATTTTATATACATAGCACCTGGATAAAATTTGTACCAGTGATCTACTTGCCTAAGATCAGTTACTTGGCTTATGTGGGATCCATTTCATACTTTAAATCCCCTTAAAGGAACTAAGAGCCCTACATAGAATATTCCAAGGACCTCTCAATTAGTCTCTGCCTCCGACATCCTCCCCTTCAAATCTTTCCTTAATGCTGCCACCAAAACACACACACACGTGCACATGCCAGAAGAAACCAGATGTTTATTCTCTGGACAAATAAAAAATGACAATCTCTTAACTCAAGAGCACCAGGCACCATGGAGATATATGGTGCCTGTAAAAACAGAGATTGAGTAAAAATCTTGATACTGAATTTAGTAGCCCACGGCTCTTTATCCTAGTACTATTTCCAGAACACCACACATTTCAGAAAGTTGTATGTTGAAAAAGAGAAACCTAAACAAATGGGGGTGGGGGGAAACCAAAGAAAAGAAAGACAATTCATAGAGAACAGGAATACTTCCAAAAATCTATCAAATAATACTGTCAGAGAAATAAGAGAAGATAGTATATCCATGAAGCATGAAGAGGATGCTGTTAGAAAAAACAAAAAACAAACAATTTGAAAATTAAAACTAGGATAGCCAAAATAAAACATTTAATAGCAAGGCTGGTGGACAGAGTTGAGGTAACCACCTAGAAGGTAGGGGAAAAAAAACAAGATTAAAAATAGAATAGAAAAAATTTAAAAATTAGAGAATCAATCCAGAAGAACCAACATAATCATTTCAGAAAGAAAGAAAAAAGAAACAAAGGTAAAGAAATTACTAAAGAATAATTCAAGAAACTTTCCAAGAACTAAATAGGTCTCTAAGATTGAAAACATCCACCAATGGTCTTTTCATTTACAATGAGTTTTAAAAAAAAAAAAAGGCACACCAAGCTTATCATCATGAAATTTTAGAACACTGATGATAAGAGATTTTTCTAAGAGCTTCCAGAGAGAAAAAGCAGGTGGTATACATAGCATAGGAAGTCACTATAACAGAGGACTTCTCAATAGTAATAGTGGGTGTGAGAAAATGATAAAGCAATACTTTCAAAATTATGAGTGAAACTAGAATTTACAGCCAGCCAAACTATGAATCAAGTGTAAGAGTAGAAGAAGGACATTTCAGACCAGCAAACCCAGAAAGAGCACAACACAGCTGCTAGGAAATAGTGGATCTAACGTGGCAGAAGAGAAGTTCCAGAATTACAACTGTGTAACTACCAAGGGAGCAGCCTGTTTAGCAGGCTCAGCCGGAGGTCACCATGGAAAACAGGAATTGATGTGGCTGGGTGCGTGGAAAAGGTCACTGATACCTGCGGAACAAAAGATGGGAGCACTTAGGGGAAACAGTCTTGGCTTCGTAAGTACTAAGAAAAGAAGCCTACTTATAGAACACCACTTGCTCGCCAGTGAATAACAGTTGTATAGCAATGTGATATAAACATTGACTACTAATTTTGCTTCTTAAAAGTGTGATCTAAGTAGACTGAAGGAAGTGAATGAGGCAGGAGGAGAACTAAGTTCTTTCCTACTATGCTAGAAAGTCATGATAAAGTCTAAAATTGCAAGAAATAGCAGTTTACAAATATTATTTAGAAAATAGGTGTAAATACCAGGGGGACTAGCTGGAACAGCTAAGAGTTGTTGCCTCTAGGAAATGGGACTTGCGGGTGGGGATGGGTAAAGCAGAAGATTATGAGAATTATCTAAATTTTACGATTATATTGATTTAGTCTAATAAATATAAAAATAGTATATTTTAAGATAAGTAAGAAATGATGGAGGCAGGGAGAGAGGAGGATAGGAAAAAAAAACAGAAAATCTTTGGCCCATACATTTCCAAGCACATTGGGATCGCTCACAGAGCTGCATTTTCCCATTAACCTGGTGAGCCACCTTCTGGGTCGAAAATAGCTGATTTAGGCATTTCTGAAAACAAACACATAAGAAGAACACTTGTTTAGAAACATATATGTATTTCTCAGATGTGATGCATGATACAGAGCTAAAATTGATAATTCACTAGGCAGTTCAAAGATTCCACATTATCAAAACCAACACCACAATAATTGTTATTATTTATTAACTAACCACCACGTAATAAACACAGTGCTGAGTATTTTACATATATTATTTCTAATCTTTCCAACAACTCAACAGGGCAGGTATCACTCAGCTAGAATAAATCCTCTTTTATTCTTCTAGCCTAAAAATCCTTTTAGCCCACAAACCAACCATAGACCAGTGATATCATCAAAGTCTGCAAGAACTGAAATGTCATGATATTTCCAGTACTTTCTGAAATTAAAAGACTTCCCCAAAATAATAAAGTTGATCGTTAGTAAGGCTACTCTTCCCAAGAAAGATTTCTTTCAAGGGGTGCCTCTCAGCACTCAACTCACAGATGTTCTCTCAGTCTGTTAGCGAGATTTTCTCTGGGCCTCGATTTTCCTCATCTGTAACGTGTTGGGATTGAACTAAACCATCTTAAAGGTTTTAGTCCATTAAAACTGTTAAAAATGGGTACATCAAGTCACAGAGATCTTAAGTAACTTGCCTAAATTTCCATGAGCAAAAATATCTGATTGCTATCTCTGAGCCAGTATATAAAGAGCACTTCTGACATTCTTTCATCCAACTTCAATCAAAAACAGATAGGAAAATTAGCAATAGGGTAAAGAAAAGTACTTATTGGGGTTTTCTAAAAACGTAATAGTGAATAGTTAAAGAAGAGAAGATTCTTTTTTCTCCTTCACAATAATAGATTTAATCTTAAATGTATAACAATCACTGGATCACCATAATTCAGACAGAAGTCTCTCTGACAGGCATCATTTCGATATTTTGGTATACTTCACAGATATTATGTCACATAAGCATTGCCAGTCAAATGAATCATGGATTTTTAGGTATTCAAAGTAGAACAATTAAGTATAAAGCAGAGTTTCCCAATCTCAGCACTATTGGCACTTGGCGGCAGATAATTCGTTATTGTGGGGGCTGTCCTGTGCATTACAGGGTGTTTTGAAGCATCCCCAGCCTTTATCTACTAGATGCCCTCCTCTTGGGTTGTGATAATCAAAAATGTCTTCAGATCCTGTCAAATGTCCCCTGGGGAGCAAAATTACCCCCAGTTGAGAATCACCGGTATAAAATAACATTCCTAAAACGGACTGCTGGCCAGTAGCTCAATGTAACTCTTCACAGATTCACTTCCTCAGAACCCCATAGTTACCACAAAGCTCACCAAGGCATCGCCCAGTACAATGTGCTTCTACTCGATGTACCCAGGGGTGCTCTTCCCTAGGTGAGATCTACTATTACTCAAATGAGCAACTTGGCATGGAGCTGACCGCATATGAGAATTCTGAATGTCTCCACAGCTATGTAGGCTCTCATTGTGGAAAACATCCTCCAGATGATCTCTGAGGACCACGTGAAAACACACATTTACTGCCAAGGTGAAAGTCCTCGCTTTGTTTCTTCACCATTCTTTTTTTTTGAGGAAGATCAGCCCTGAGCTAACATCCATGCTAATCCTCCTCTTTTTGCTGAGGAAGACCGGCCCTGAGCTAACATCTATTGCCAATCCTCCTCCTTATTTTTTTTTTCCCCAAAGCCCCAGTAAATAGTTGTACGTCATAGTTGCACATCCTTCTAGTTGCTGTATGTCGGATGTGGCCTCAGCATGGCCGGAGAAGCGGTGCGTCAGTGGGCGCCCGGGATGCGAACCCAGGCCGCCAGTAGCGGAGCGTGCGCACTTAACCGCTAAGCCACAGGGCCGGCCCTCTTCACCATTCTTGATCTTGTTTGACTTCTAACTAGTCATGACAACAAATGCTCTAGATAAAGTACGGTCATGCATCTCTTAACAGTGGGGATACGTTCTGAGAAATGCATTGTTAGGTGATTTCGTCGTTGTGTGAACATCATAGAGTGCACTTACACAAACCTAGATGGTATAGCCTACTACACACCTAGGCTGTATGGTACTAATCTTATGGGACCACCGTCATATATGCAGTCCATCATTGACCAGAACGTCATTATGCAGCACATGACTGTAGTAAAACAGTTTCCGTGATCCCTTACCCTGGTTCTTCAGTGATGCTGGGACGATGTTCTGTCTGGATAACAATTGCTGTAACATGGCAACTTGTCAACACCATTGTGACCTCAAAGACAGAGCCACCAACTTTGCTGCCACCAGTCACCAAACAGTATAAGGGGAAGGAAAATGGAAGTCCTGAAGAGCAGGGCAGTAAAAACCCCAGGAGAGTGGAAAGGACAATGGCGCTAATAACCTTGCCTGGGCATGAGGTCAACAGTGCCCCTAATTACCTCAGTCGAATTCCCTGGCCATCCCCATCCCCAAACCCTTGCCCAACAATAAATCACCCAGCAAAAGACCTGCTTTAATACATCTGTTTCCAATTGCATATGAGTTTAAATAATTAAAACTTTACATTCACAATATTTTATTGTTCTTCTAGCAAGATGTACGTGCCAGATACAGGAGGCACACACTAAATGAGTAATTTTGCCTAAATTGAGAAATTACCACTTTCCTAGTTCAAAGCTTTCTAAATGAAACATTGATTTCTTCAGAGGCTCTTCACTGGACTTGATAAACCTGAAAACATGCTACTGATATTTAATACGCCCAAAGGATTTAGGGTAAACTCCTCAGATCTTAAAACCATAATAAATAAGAGATATCTAAAAGAACCAAGTGAACTTAGTCAAGAAACAAACGGGCCAGCCTGGTCGCAAGTGGTTAAGTTCGAGCACTCCACTGCGGCGGCCCGGGTTCACAGCACTGCTTGTCAAGCCATGCTGTGGCGGCGTCCCACATAAAGTAGAGGAAGATGGGCAGAGATGTTAGCCCAGGGCCAATCTTTCTCAGCAAAAAGAGGAGGATTAGCAACAGATGTTAGCTCAGGACTAATCTTCCTCACCAAAAAAACAAAAAGAAAAGAAACAAACAACAACAAAGGCTTATGGGAAATATTTAAAAGACCATGTTATAGAGGAAGAATTGAACTTATCCTGAGAGACTCCAAAAAGCAGACCAAGACACCAAATGATTAGAAATGATTGCCCAAGAGATCTTTTGGCTGAGAAGAAGCATACCACAGTAGGTATAATTTTATTGTATTTTCAATCTTTGTCTTTTTGATGGTTATTCTCATTTTCACTTTTTTAATTGATACTAACTAAACACCTCCTTGTATATTTATTACATATTCTATTTCCTTTATGAGCTGCCTCTATTCAAGTCCTTCACTCACTCCTTTTTTCTCTCAGAATTCATCATTTTCTTATTGATTTGTAAGAGCAACTAAGCCAGCTTTTACCTCACACTTGGGACTCAGTTGTCTGAGCTTCTCAAGACAAGAGATCTTTGATTTTCTCTCCTTACCTACCTGGCCTTTCAAGGCAATGTTTTCCTTCCAGCCTCTGTCCAGTGCATGAGATGCCTTGCAAAAAAGGAGAGTAGAGTTACTTGTTTCAAAACTTCCTTTGATGGGGGCCTTCAGCGGTTCTTTGTAGGATCCTGCCAGAAAAACATTTGGCTTTGAATTTGGTTTTTAAAACAAGATAATAACTTTGATTGGAGGTCAGCCCATGGCATCTTTCACAGTAGAACAGAATGTAGGACACAGGCCCTCCTCTCTCCAAAATCCTGGGGCTGGGGGCAGGAGTGGGGGCGCAGGGCCTTACCCAGAGTACTGGGTTCATGCATGAACATTGGATGAAAAACTACATCAATGGCATCCAGAGCGAAATCAAATGGAAATGCCAAAATTAAAGGCCTGACCCCAACTGCAGTATCAGCAGCAGAAATGCTTTATCTCTGCATAGAAAGAACATATTGCACATTTGAAGAATAGATACAAACAGTTCAATAGTTTAAAATGACAGCGCCAAGAGTGTCTGGTTTGCCCAGGCTATGATCCTCCTGCCAGGACATCACTATGGGATGCTTGGTTTGCTAATCATTGACGTTAACTACATGATCATGAGCAAATCTCTTTGCCTCTCCGGCTTCCTATTGCAGAAAGCTGTTGTAAGGCTAGTTTGAGATGACATCAGTGAAATACTTTCCAAGTAATAGAAAAGTCAATGTTGTTTGCATCATTATTATTCATATCTAGTCTCTTCTCAAGATTGAGAAAGCCCTTTACCACACTTTTAACTGCACTGCAAATCTTGTCGAGTCCTCCTCTAAAACTAAATATTTGCCATATCACTTACTTTCTCATCACAGGGCCCAGGGACCATTGGAAAATCTTGGCCTTTTGCCATGTGGCAATCCCTTCTTCACTTGGACAAACATGGGCTTGATGAACTGTCACTAATGTTCCTAGAGCCCAGCACCTCAAGTCTTGGGCTATCCAAAATCTAAGAGGGCCAGCCAGTGGCACAGTGGTTAAGTGTGCGCGCTCCACTTTGGCGGCCCAGGGTTCGCCGGTTCAGATCCCGGCGCCCACTGACGCACCACTTGGCGAGCCATGCTGTGGTGGCGTCCCGTATAAAGTAGAGGAAGATGGGCACAGATGTTAGCCCAGGGCCAGTCTTCCTCAGCAAAAAGAGGAGGATTGGCAGACGTTAGCACGGGGCTGATCTTCCTCACAAAAAAAAAAAAAATCTAAGAAATACGAGATTACATCAAAGGGGAAGGGAGGATGAAAACATGAAACGTTGTGCAAAGTTTTAGAACTTGCTCTTGTCCTGAGAAATTACGCAAGCTTGTTTTGTTGTGCTATTTGTAGATTACTATGGAGGAGAAGAAGCCAGCTCTCAGAACCTCAAATGAGAAAGAAAAAGTTGCGACTGGATGCTAGCACTGACAATCATCCCAGTTATCAACAAAGAGGTCAGGTCCACCAGCCTAAGGAAGCAGGGACCTCTCGGGTTTTGTCCACAGAGCATGTCTGCAAACAAACCTCTCTGCATACATCCTCTTTAGGATGGGAGGATCGTCAGTGTTCACTCTTCTGAAACGAAAAAGAAAGAAACCCTAGGGGCCAGCCCTGTGGCTTAGCGGTTTAGTGCGCACGCTCCGCTACTGGTGGCCTGGGTTCGGATCCCGGGCGCGCACTGACGCACCGCTGCTCCGGCCGTGCTGAGGCCGAGTCCCACATACAGCAACTAGAAGGATGTGCAGCTATGACATACAACTATCTGCTGGGGCTTTGGGGAAAAAAAGGAGGAGGATTGGCAATAGATGTTAGCTCAGAGCCGGTCTTCCTTGCAAAAAGAGGAGGATTGGCATGGATGTTAGCTCAGGGCTGATCTTCCTCAAAGAAAAAAAAAAGACAGAAAGAAACCCTACAGCAAAGCACTGAGAAACCAATGTATCTGATTAATACATTATTAGCTTAAGTACAAAATAGACTTTCTTGTAAAACCTTTTTGACTCATAATCTAGCTCCTAGAATTCTGAATTTCTCGTGCAATGCCATATTAAACAAATAAATGAAGCTTTAAAAAGGAGAAGAGAGCCCCTAATTTTAGCCAGAAATTGCTTTAAAATAATCAGTATAAAAGCCACCCCTCAATTGTAATGGGATACAAAAGATTTCTTTCAGAAGACGGCCATAACCATGATCTTTCTTACAACTGTATTCAGCTACTGCTTCAACCAGCTACTTTCAGGATTGGTACTCACCGTTACATGGGACGTTCATTGGTTTAAAAATGATTTGGGCTCCTTTCATTTCAGTCCTCTAGTCTGCAGGACTGCAATGCCTCACTGTGTCTAATGTCATTGAGAAAAGAGTTGGCACTGCTGTTAACATTTGTCTTAAATATGCTGATAAGATAATGATTTATGTTGCCTAGGACTTCTAAAGGAGATAGAAATTAAATCACTAGATGATAGGTGGTGAGTTTTGCTTCTGAAGGATGGGAATAGAAAAGGCTGTGCCCAAATGAGAGGCACATATTTCAGAAAGAGAGCTTGTGTTTCAGGGCCCTGACAGCTTGATCCTGGATCCCCGCCCACCACATCAAGGCTTTGGTGCCCACTCACCACCCCTGCCCCAGAGCAGGCATCAGACTGTCTCTCACTCTCATCTCTCCTTCCCTTTTCTTTTCCTCCCTCTCCCCTCTCCTCTTGTTTGTCCTCTCTCTCTCTCTCCTCCACTCTCCTTTTCCTTCCTTTTACTTTCTCTTCCTCTCATCCTCTCCCACTTTCATCTTTTTCTTCTCCTATTTCATATCTGATTATTTCATTACTAATACATCTTCTTCCTGACTGCAGCAGACCAGGAATCTTACCAGAGATATTAAAACTCTGCACAAGACTATATAGACATATATAGAGACATATTCATACATACGTACAATCTTTCCAAAAGTAGTCATTTGCCAATGCAAATCTCAGAAATATATTTAAAATACAACATTCTTTTGTTTGTGTTTCATTCCCCGCCCCGACCTTGAAAATTTCTTATTTAAAGGGAGAAAAAGAGAAAAGCAGTGGATTAAATGTGACACTAGATATTGATTCTCTCAGGAATGAATATATCCTTTTTTAACATTTCAAAACTGGCCTGTGGCATTTCTATTACCTCACCTAGAATCAAGGTCTCTTCCTCAGGCGTTATCTTCAGCACGGATCCGGAAGTTTCTGGGAGGTCAGTGGTTGAAGGTTCTTCCTCAAAAGAATAGGCTGCAAAATCCCTGGTTTGGCTTTGCCGCCATCTTGTGGTGACTGGGCTGCTGGCAACGGGAACCTCGGCTGACAGCCTCTTCAGGAAGTTGCTCTTAAAGTCAGAATATGTAGGATTAACCTCATCAAATACCTATTTAACAATAAAAACAGCTGTAATTTATAGTGGCCTCAATGATGCAGAAGTAAAAATTTCTTAAAAGAGAATTATAAACGACTCATCTAGTACAACACAAATAAAATATATATGAGCTTTTTAATTTTTGTGACCTGGGAGAACATTACATGTACGTCTATATATGTATATACACACTTAGAGCAGCAGCTTAGGGTGTAATTACGTTTATAGTTATTACTATTACATATAAATACAAAATATGAAGTTGAAATAACACTATATACTGAATAAAAAGTGTTTATATAAAAATCTGGAAATAAATAGCAATTTTTTAATCCAACCCCTTCATTTCACAGATGGAGAAACCGAGGCCTGACTTCTTCAACATCGGTCCATCTCTTTGAGAAACACCAGGAGTTTGGTATTTACAAATCCTATGCGGTGAGCCATGGCTCACATAGCCACATAGCTATGTGAAATTAAAATGCAAGTGACGAACTGGAAATAAATTTTTTTAACAAATGCCAGGCATGTTAGGTTAATATAAAGAGCTCTTAGAGAAATTTAGACAAGTTTAACAACAGAAAAATGGGCATAGGACATAAAAAGGCAATTCACAACAGAGGTATATAAACGCCCCCAAAATATTCAACCTTACTAGTAATCAAATAAATGTAAATTTAAAACAATAATGAGATGTAAGCAATGATTTTTTGTGTGTGTGTGAGGAAGATCAGCCCTAACATCCATGCCAATCTTCCTCTTTTTTTTGCTGAGGAAGACTGGACCTGGGCTAACATCTGTGCCCATCTTCCTCCACTTTGTATGGGACGCCGCCACAGCATGGCCTGACAAGCGGTGCCTCGGTGAGCGCCTGGGATCCCAACCTAGGCCGCCAGCAGCGGAGCGCGCGCACTTGACCGCTACGCCACGGGGTGGGCCCCTAAGCAATGATTTTTTTTTTTTATGAATACATTTATTTTTATTTTTTTATTTATTTTTTATTTTATTTTTAATTTTTTGTTCATTGCAGTGTTATTCACAATAGCCAAGACTTGGAAGCAACCTAAGTGCCCAACAAGGGACGAATGGATAAAGAAGATGTGGTGTATATACACAATAGAATACTACTCAGCCATGAGAAACGATGAAATCCAGCCATTTGTGACAACATGGATGGACATTGAGGGTATTATGCAAAGTGAAATAAGTCAGAGGGAGAAGGTCAAATACCGTATGATTTCCTTCATTAAGTAGTAGATAATAACAACCATAAACAAACACATAGAGACAGAGATTGGATTGGTGGTTACCAGAGGGGAAGGAGGGAGGGAGGGAGGAGGGGGAAAGGGATAATTCGGCACATGTGTGTGGTGATGGGTTGTAATTAGTATTTGGGTGGTGAACATGATGTAATCTATGCAGAAATAGAAGCATAATGATGTACACCTGAAATTTATACAATGTTATAAACCAATGTTACAGCAATGATTTTTTAAAATTACAATCTCCAGTGTTGAAGGTTCTAGAAGCAAACATTGGCATATACTGCTGGTGGAGTGTAAATTAGTCTCTGGAAAGGACAATTTCGCAATGTGTGTCAAAGCCTTCAAATACGTGCATAAACTCTACTGACCCAGCAATGTCACCTCTAAGAACTTAAGGAAGAGATCACAGATGTGAGTGAAGATGGACAAACCAGCCAGCAACTATTGAGTGCTCACCACATAGGAGCCCATATGTTAAAGGTTTTACACACATTCATATTTAATCCTCAGAAACAACTTGTGAACCAGGTCTGTTACTTATTCCTATTTTACCAATGAAGAAACTGAGATTTAGAGGTTAAGTGAATTGCCTAAGACCACAGAGTGAGTAAGTGGACATGCTATACCCTAACTTCATCTGTCTGACTCCACGGTCCATGTTCTCAACTGAGAACGTGAGGGTGTCACTGCAGTATATATGTTTATAGGGGCAAAAGATGGAGGGACTCAATGTTTACCAATGGAGAATTGAGTAAATAAACTATGTGACATTCATAAAAGGGAATACTCTGCAGCCATTAGAAATGATGACATACATTAGGGAAATGCAAATCAAAACCACAATGAAGTACCACTTCACATGCATGAGGATGGCTATAATCAATCAATCAATAACAAGCGTTGGTGAGGATGTGGAGAAATTGGAACCTTTGTACATTGCTAACGGGAATGTAAAATGGTACAGCTGCTATGGAAAGCAGTTTGGCAGTTTCTCAAAAAGTTAAACCTGTAACTATAATATGACCCAGCAATTCCACTTCTAGGTATACATTCAAGAGAAATTAAAACAAGTACTCAAACTCAAACAAATGAACACGATGTTCATAGCAGCACTTTCACAATAGCCAGAAGGCAGAGATAACTCAAATGTCCGTTAACAAAAATGAATAAACAAATTGTGGGAGATATATGTATATGTGTGTGTGTGTGTATATATATATAAAATACATTATATAATTATATATACACATATTATATAATATATATACATAAATATTACTCAGCCAAAACAAGGAAAAAAGTACTGATAACATGCTACAATGTGGATAAACCTCAAAAATATTATGCTAAGTGAAAGAAGCCAGACACATTTACATGAAATGTCCAGAACAGGTAATCCATAGAGAGAGAACACAGATTGCTGGCTGCCAGGAGTTAGGGGAAGGAGGAAATGGGGAGAAGTCGCTTAACGGGTACAAAGTTTTCTTTGGTGATGGTGAAAATATTTTGGAACTAGAGAAGTAGTTACACAACACTGTGAATGTACTTAATGCCACTGAATTGTTCACTTTAAAATGGTTAATTTTATGTTACATGAATTTCACCTCAATAAAAAAAATCTAAAAAGAAAATGATAACATAGGATAATACTCAATCAAACAGGAAAATACTCACAATATATTGTGAAATGGAACATGCAGACTTTATAAAAGAGTATTCCAGTATGGTCCCATTTCCTATCCATAAATGAAAGATGAAAGGAAATACGCGAGAATGTTGAGGCAGTAAATACTGGTTTTGTTTGGTTTTCTTAATAAGTGTGTGTGAAGGTGATCACCCACCCTGCCTGCAGTCACTCCACCCAACGAGGTGAGCTCTCTCCTGCTGCTCTGTGTTTTCCTCCAGAAACTGCACCAAAGAGGATACTTGCCCCAGAAAAGGGGAAGTCAGGAGCTGTCCTGCCCTTGCTGTTGGTTTTTGAGTAGGAAGGGGAAAGGTGAAAAGAGGGAACGATAGAGCCCTGGAAATGTAAAGCAGGTGTCTCAAACTCAGAAGCCCGGACAAGGGAACAGTAGGGAGGGTGATGAGAGAAGCAGGCCTGGAGTAAGAACTGTGGCCCAATCAGACTTCCATCCTCCCACTTTTGGGTTTCTCTCCTCCAAGGAAAACCACAGTGCCAGCTCAATGGCTGGGGAGACTGGGCCCAGACAGAGGGAGACTGAGCAGTGGGAATCTCAAACTGGAATGCTCATGTTTCAGCCTCAGCAAGAAAGATGGTCAGAGGGGCACGTTGTCCCATGTGTTACCAGAAGTCAGAAATTTAGACTTTTCATATCAATTTCCCCACTTTATAAAGTTTTCAACTGATCCAGATTTTTTTAGAACACTGTAGCAGAGCATGTCTGTGGGCCACATGCAGGCTGGGGGCTATGTCTGCATCCACTGCAGTACTAGCCAAGCAGCCCTCACCCTTCTAGAGAGCAAGAAAAGGAGAAGCCACCATATGTGAAGATACATTTCATTTGCAACAAACATGAAAGAGACACTTACCCAAAGTTTTCCTTGGAATTTCAAATGTAAATATACATTAAAAAACAAAATAATCCTGAGTTTAAAAGAGGGAAAATAAAGAAGAATTCAATACGTCAGCTAAGAAAAACGATCAAAAAATTTCACATTGACAACCTCACACTGCCTTGGCAGGTCTGTATTTCTCTGGCTCATCTACTATCACTCTTTCTATACTGTTTCCCCACCTGAAATGCTCTTTCACAGTTCTCTGCCAGGGTAACTTCTAGCTTACCTTCATGGCTGGGATCAGCCACCAACTCCTTCAGGAAGGTGTCTCTGACATTCTCTTCCACCCCATTCCAAACTGGGTTAGGCAGCCTGTGGTGGGCCAACTAATTGTGGTGGTTAATTTTATGTGTCAACTTGCCTGGGCTAAGGGATGCCCAGATAGCTGGTAAAACATTGTTTCTGGATGTGTCTGTGAAGGTGGTTCTGGAAGAGATTAGCATTTGATTCAGGAGACTGAGTAAAGAGATCCACTTTCATCAACATGGGCAGGCATCATCCAATCCACTGGGGGCCCAAATGGAACAAAAAGGCAAAGGAAGGGTGAATTCTCTCTCTTCTTGAACTGGGCTGTCCATCTTTTCCTCCCTCAGACATTGGAGCTCCTGGTTCTCAGACCTTCAGACTCCTTGACTTACATCAGCAGCCCCCCAGTTCTCAGGCTTTTAAATTGGAACTGAATTAAACCACCAGCTTTCCTCCTTCTCCAGCTTGCAGATGGCGTATTGTGGGGCTTAGCTTCCATAATCTCATGAGCCTATTATATATATCTATATGTATCCTATTGGTTCCGTTTCTGCAGAGAATCCTGACTGATACAATAATGGTCCCCTAAGATATCCAGATCCTAATCCCTGGAACCTGTGAATGTTACTTTATATGGCAATGGAGTTTTGCAGATGTGATTAAGATAAGGATCTTGAGATGGGGAGATTATCCTGGATTATCTGGGTAGCCCCTAAATGCAATCACATATCCTTCTAGAGAGAGGCAGAGGGAGATTTGACTACACACAGAGGCAGAGATTGGAGTGATGTACAAGCCAAGAAGTGCTGGCTGTCACCAGAAACTGGAAGAGACAAGGAATGGATTCTCCCCTAAAGCCTCTACAGGAAGCAAGGCCCCCCTGACTTCTTGGCTCTATCCAGCGGAACTGATTTTGGACCTCGG